CACCAGAAGCCGATCTTATTGCTACTTTGGATGTTGCTACTACACTCTGCCTGTTGAAACCCGTCTGTTGTCTTGTATTGACCGCCATATTGAACCGTGCAGTTTCCCAGGCACCTGTCACTGGACCACACCTTGCCATTTCTAAAGTCGCCATAACTAGTGATTTTTGATCGGAATGTCTTTTCACCCAAACAGTTCCCCGTGGTCTGCAACAGTGGCGTGTGACTGAAGTCATCACTGCGCGTGATTTTAAACTCTCTGCCTTTCAGTAGCCAAAATGCTGGTGAGATCATATCAGCGTCCACTGACGGATCAGTTGTTGCTCCAGAAGCAAAACGACGGTCATACCACCAATCACCACTGTCAGCCATCCAATTTTTGCCGTCGTAATTGGAGAACCGAGCAACCAGCATCCAGCCTGAGTAACAGCCCTAAGACGGGAAAAAATTGTCTTAATCATGCAAAGCTTATTTTACAAATGAGGTTCTGAGTGAAGGTACCTCGACAACACATAACACTATTCTGTTGAGCAGGGGTCTAGAGATTTTCCATAGGTTGATTGTATTAGCTGTAATCTGGAGACTCCAGCAACTCCTAATACAACTTTGTGGTTACAACGGAAACGTAACATTTAAATCAGCAGACATATAGTCCTGTAAATTTCGCAGTGGCGTTTTGTTTTCAATGAATTACACTCAGGACACCAGGTGACAAAGACATGTTTTGACCTAACAGTATATTGAAAGACCAATGACAATTCAAAGGTGATGTGAAGTGTCGACAAACATGACTAAATTTCAATAACTTCAGCCCCTCCCTTCAACGCCACCCCTTAGAGCCACTCTAGAAGATTGATGAAGATTACTAAATGTAAGTACATATAAAACTATAAAAATGAATAATTATGTGTACCTTGACAAATGGACTTTGAATTTCACAAGGCCCTGAAAAATTGTCATTAAGCGCTAGGTTAGTTCTAGGACAAGAATGTAATTAGGAATGGGGTGTTTCACGTAGACATGCACTAAATAGGACTTTTTCCGAAGCTGCTCCTAGGTTAGGGAACCAATTGCCTCGGAACTCAGGGGTGTTACATCTGTCGACCAGTTTAGGTCGCAGTTGAAGACATTCTTATTTAACCGTAGCCTACGATGTTTGATTTTAGTAGCTTCATTTAATTTAATTTTATCTTATAATAGTTTTTAACTCTGGTTTCTTACCATATTATTGGACAGCGCTTTGAGCAATTAGTGGATACCGCGCTATATAAGTGTCTATTATTATTTTATTATTATTATTAAATCCCGGGACTAAATCATGAGCCAAACTCCAACGACCACTACCTATCGTATAATCGTTTGTTTATTAAACTAGAATTGAAGTAGACTGGATTGGATTGGACTAGATTTGATTTGATTTGATTATTCGATCTGAAACAGAGCAATACAATTTAAGATTACGCAACTTAGCTTGTTTATAATTTCTAGCACAATAATTTCACTGGAAAATGTCTCAATTCAAAACTCTAATTTCACAATCATGCTTTACTTACTTCTGTTGCGGGTCGTCCTTGAAACGGTTTAGCTCGATACTTTCGTGCTGGTGAGCTTAATAATTGTGAGCGTACTACTGATTAGCAAATTCAACTTTTTACTAAATTCCGACCGCGTGTAAGGTGTTTCGATACAGTTTTTCAGAGGCCATACCGATATTTTTCAATCGCCTTAAAAGTCGTTTTTTCCTTGTCCGATCCCTATAAAATTCTCACCAGTAATTGCCTATGGATTGAAATTTGTGAAAATGTAGTTTTAAGTAAAATCGGTATTACTATGACAACAATAAACAAAAAACTTTGAAACTGGTAAAAGCCGGATTTTGTGTGATCTAGACCAGCTAGTGAAAATCTAACACTAGGAACTAAAAAGTTTAGTATTTAGCAGACTATCTCCGGAAGAAGTAAAAAATTCTGTATGTTTGAATTCGACTAAAACGAAAATATATTTAAAACCTTAAATGTTCAATAGCCGTGATGGATTATTTAATAAAAACGTTATAAATGACTCAAATTATTCTTAATAAGTATAGCGTCAGAATGCTGCTTAATATCATATTTTGATGCTAGGAAATTTTGGTGTATTTTCGTTCTTGCGATCTTGAAAGCTAAGCCGTTTTCTCACTACTTGTATAAGTGCAACTTCATTCAAAATTTGGACTTTTAGCGCTTTTTTTTATATATCTCTGAAACTACTCGAACGAATTTTTTTACAATCTCTTCACATAATCTTCACAATGTATATAATAAGTATGTGTAATCAAATGGTGACGAGAGAAATTAGGGAAAGGCTTGGGAAATTATAAGGATTTGGACAAAACGCAAGTGAAATTATTCCCTAATTTCACGAGTATGCCATTTGATTACCTATTATTATCATGGGTGACGAATTACGTTAGCAATCGAGGATTTTTGACTTGTTTATCCTGGATCGCATCGATCGATCGTGAACTCCACTCTCTCAAACGTTTAGAGCTAAAATTTGGCTTACGTTTTCAGAATTTTTCGACCAAATACCTTCCTGATGTGCTCTTTCGTGTGTTCAGGTTTTGTAAAGCGTCTTTTTATGCCCTGACATCTTCATTCATGACATTTTAAAACTTTCTCGCCATCTTGAAACGGAGACGTACGGCAGGTTGCCATGGCAATTTAAAAAAATTAACGCTGAAATTTCGCGCCAAAATTAAGGAGTAATTCGTCATATGATATCATGTCTGAAACTTTCATTAAGATTGATTCACCGCAACACCTTGAAATTTCAAGACAAACCTATCCTACTTACCGGTCAAAAATCTGCGTTACAACATTCACTGTTTTGACGTTACGGAAATTTTTCCAAAATAATGCGCACTATACATACCTCCATGACTAGTACATTTTAGTTTGAATTTATCGCATCTTTTGAATGTAAAACATTGACAATACTATACCTGCCAACTTTTTCTGAGATATAAGCGTGAGATTTTTATCCTGGGAGTGCTGGGATTTTTGAAAACGACACGATCATTTCCGAAGATTCCCGAAGAAGTCCGAAGTCTTCCGAAGACGTCCGAAGACTGCCGAAGTGTGACAAAGGCGAGCTCGCTCCCAGTGCTTTTCACTTCAAAAATCAGAGATCGCGAGGAAGGTATTGCCATTTATTCATTTTACACATGGTTTTCGTTCCTTACATGGGTCTGAGTTAACATATTTTTGGAAATTGTGTCAAGCAGGACGGCAGCAACTCACATTTTTCAATCAGGCGTGAGAAATTGGCCCGCAGGCGTGAGCCGGAGTGAGATCGAAGTTTTCAACCCGCAGGCGTGAGACTCACGCCTAAGGCGTGAGAGTTGGCAGGTATACAATACTCACACTGAAATGTACTAGTCATGGATATATGTATTGTCTGCATTAATTTGGAAAAATTAGCACAACATCAAAACAGTGAATGTTGTAGCGCGGATTTTTGACCGGTTGGTGTCTTCAAATTTCAAGGTGAGACATGGACTGGAATCACAAGCTTGAGAAAGAATGGCACAGTTGAATGAACATAACCCACAAATGCATGATGAAGAACGTTTCTAAAGTTAGGGGGTACCTGCATAAGTCTTATTTTCGCAATTGCCTCGTTTCCATCCACTACTGCATTTACAGATGTACTCTTCTCCGCTTTCGTCTTCAAAACAGGTTCCTCCATTGAGACATGGACTGGAATCACAAGCTTGGGAAAGAATGGCACAGTTGAATAAGCATAAGCCACAAATGTATAATGAAGAACGTTTCTAAATTTAGGCGGTACCTGTATAAGTCTTGTTTTCGCAATTGTCTCCTTTCCATCCACAACTGCATTTACAGGTGTACCCTTGTCCACTTTCCTCTTTATGGCAGATTCCTCCATTGAGACATGGACTGGAATCACAAGCTTGGAAATTTTAAAGATTGATAATACACAGTTATTAATAAATAAACAAGAAACAATAGGCTATTTTTACAGTTGATATTGCTATGATAAGGGGTTGCAAGCGATTTCATTCATAACATTCATCTTACGTCTTTTCAAAATATGGAATTCACCGCTCATGCATGATATTTCGAACTGAGCACCTTAAGGTGATGTCTGTGTATATCTCTGGATTTCTTACAAGCCACAAATATATGATGAGAACGTTTCTTAATATCAGTGGCTACCTGTCATATTTTTTTCGCAATTGTCTCCTTTCCATCCACTACTGCATTTACAGATGTACTCTTCTCCGCTTTCGTCTTCAAAACAGGTTCCTCCATTGAGACATGGACTGGAATCACAAGCTTGGGAAATGGCACAGTTGAATGAACATGAAACAATAAGAAATCTATATTTAAAAAAAGCCCTGTGTACACAGGCTAATAAGAAAGCAAGGTTTACGGTCATTTCGCCATGCATCAAACCATTTTCTGGTGCCTCCCCTTTTGTTGCGAAAATTTAGGGACGTTATCAAAATAAACATCTTTGTGTTAATGCATATGTAAAATCGACAAGGACGAAAGTCGCTCATCTGTCATCGTATCAGGTAATAAAGTCTTTATTCTTTTCATCGAGCTGAAACTGCGCTCATCAGCGCACGCCGAGTAGGGTAAGTAAGAAGTGTCTTACTGGATAGGAAGGGGATCATCAGGTGGCCTGATTGACTAGCGGAGCCTCATTTGATACACTTACCTCCTCGATAATTTTAAATTCTTCATATTGTCAAATAATAAATTCATTTACGCTTTTCAAAGATGCCTTGAACAGACATTTAATTTCCAAACGCACAATTTACATGTGATGATATTACAAATAGTATCTGTAAGTACTATTTATGTGATGTTAATTTGATTACGTTTTATAGTGAGCAAAAAGTAAATTAAAATCTTTTTTAAGCCTACTGATTCAAACAGTAATTTGGGACCAAAAGTATAGTTTATAGGAAAAAAGTGCCCGTTACATAACTTAAGTACCTGTTGTGATTTTGCCATAGAGTTCCACTCTCATGCATATCTCATTTTTCCAAAATTTTGGTTGGAAGCGAACGTAGCGAGCCTTCATTGGTGTATCCAAGGTGTGATATACGACTGTGTCCTCGTCTGTGTTTCCTGCGTATAACTAATTTGCATAGGTAATAGCAAGATTTGTAGTGATATTTGGCATAAATACCACGAGTGATATTTCGAAATTGTTATACGTAATTTCACGAGCCGTTAGGCGAGTGGAATTTGAGACAATTTTGAAATATCACGAGTTGTATTTATGCCAAATATCACTACAAATCTTGCTATTATTTGTTTATACTACTACCCACAAAGGTTTTGTAATTTTCACATGTAGGTATTTCAAATTAAGCTGAAATACCACTGCTCTAAGCCAATCAAATGGCAGAAATTTCTCATGTAGTAGTATAAAAGGGAAAACAGGATTTTAGAGTATTCGGAGAACATAAATAAGTCACATGTAAAGACTATTCTCCCCTGTTTTATGAAAGAGGTATTACGGTGTCATCCAGTAATTATTCCAACGTACTTTGATAAAGTAAATAGAAACATAGTGTACGGAAATAGACATTAACAACACTGATATCAACAGAGAAAGTCAACTGTTACCTCAGGATCAGTGCAGTAATTACACTTCCACGTTTTTTTTTTCTTTTTTGAGGGGTTATGTTGCCGTTTTTGCTACATTAATTTCGCGGGGATTTATCACAGTTTCGCGATTTCAATTGGCACATCTGAAAAAGGCATTAAATTTGCTATTCAAGCCTGAGTTCTATTAGCCTCCCCTCATAAAAAAAAATCAGAGAGGGGAGGGGGCGGCTATAGAAAAGCGGAGACAACTGCCACGGTTGCTTGAAAAAAGGCGTTGTTTCTCTGTAGTGTTCCCTAGTTTGTTCTGTTTACTTGAAATGTAGAATTATCGTAAAGATTTGCTTTCATTTTGGGGAAAAATTCGTCTTTTTAGGAAATGTTGAGTTCACAAAACAACCTGCTTTCAAGTAAACTGTAGTTGTAAACATTTCATCGAGAGAGAAATTCTGCTAAAGTATTTAAATACTTTAAATTGAAACCTTTTCCTTTGAAACCATCCTTTAATACTTTTCTCTTGTTATGCTAAATTCTCCCTGGAAAACCATTTACTTGATCACATAAAAAACAAGCTTTTCTGTCCCCCAAAGAGGCACTTTCACCCCCCAATTCAGACGTTTAGACAAAAAGTCTTTCAGCTTTGTGGAACTCTAAAGACAAATATATAAGCTTTGGGTTTTCATTATAAGAAAAACGAAATAAGCTTACCCGATGGTCTGCATAAAACGCTTTACTATCATTGCTGAATTCTAGTTCGTATTTGGTTACACTTAAAACAGATTTTGACGTGCGACTGCTACATCCTTGTGTTGCCACTCCTGTTATTGTGCTATTGTCAAGAAGAAGATCAACTAGCAGCCATTCAATGCAGCTACTGTTTTTAGGTTGCCAACCGAATGGTCTTCCTTGTGGAGCGATATGATGTAATCTTCCATTAACGGCTGGATAGGCTTCCCTTTCTGAGGAAGCAGTTATTTGGTCGTCAGCAATCTTTCCGTTTTCCATTCCAAGAGCCTCACGGCATCCCTCTCCTGTAAGGAAACGAATCAGTCTACAGCAAAACATTGCGGAGTTTGTCGTTATCATTATCAGTAAGACCTACCGGTCGAGCCACAGAGGCTAGGAAACATTTTGATATCTCTGACTTAAACTGTAAGTGAAGCGAACGAGTCATAAAATGAAGTAAGACTAAAAGACCAAATTTTTTAGCTAGTAAAAAGAAAAAAAAAAGGACAGTGAAAATAAAAACAAACAAACAAACAAAATAAAACAAAACAAAAACAAGCCAGGAGAAAAGAGCGGGGAAACAGTTCTCTGACCTAGCCGAGGAATGGGGCGGTAATGATGACGTTTCTAATGTTTGCGCCCGCAAGTACGAAATGGTTAGGATGGCGTAAAGACAGAAAATCCCGAAGGGACCGCTCAGGTAGATTGACATTTATTGTGCAGTCATACTTCGATACTCTTTTGCGTTACGCAGTGACATTCTGTGGAGCAGTTGCTTTGAAAGTTATGGACCAAAAGCGACTCGTTAAGCGCAGGGGAGGTTATAAGGTGCGTTTAACTGTGTAGATATATAAACACTTGGAGAGTTTGCCAGACACGAGTTCACAAATCTCTGATTTATACTGGAAACCTTGCCAGACACTCTTTCTCTCTCTTTGACCGGAATAAGACTCAGCCCCAAACAAGCAAGACGAGTGAACAACGACTAGCTTATCACTAGCAGATTGATGGACATTTACAGAAATTCGCCGACAATCAAATTCTGTGCTGACTTATTCCCTGCTCACAGATGTCCTTCCGCTAAAAAGTTTAAAATAAGACTAGAATGCGCGAGGGTAAATTGATCAAACGTCCTTTTAATTTCTAAGGCTTCCTTTCCCAGCTTTCCGGCAAATAAAATGAACTGAATGTAAAAAGTGAAAGAGAAAAATTCAACTTCTAATTAAATCAGTCTTTTCTTATGGTTTAGAATAAACTATTCTCGAAACTGAGAATGTTTTGATCAAAACTGTGTAAATCGACCAGAAACTGTGCATGGAACCTTGCGTTTCCCATATTTTTCTCACCTATTGTATGGAATATGTGTGAAAATCTTCCTTAAGAATCGGTATATTTCAAAGAGCTACACAACGAGCAAGAATGCTATTGACCGACAATACACAGAGTGGGGGCAGCTGTAGTGTCAACTATTACTAGTATGCTTCTAGTGTGTGAGGTTTTGAATGGCCTTGCCCCATCTAACTTGTCATCTGAATTTAGACTCGTCGGGAAACTGCATTTCTAAAGCATTTGGATACTAGTGCGCTATTAGTTATGTCACTTTGAAAAACAACTTAATATCAGTGCTAATTAAAAACAGAAATTGTTTATGTGAGGTATTGGATACCGTCCAATGGCAATATAATACGTCTGAGCCTCTAATCATGTGTGCTGGTTTCGTTATCGGCTGCATCACTGTTAATTCGCCTTTGTTTTTACCCACCCTTTCCCCCCCGCGAGCAGCATCAGGGGGGAACGGCCACGGTCTTTCCTCCCCCTTGGTACGGCTTTGCTTGTTCCGGCAAACAATAAAGATGATTTTGATAGTATATATACGTGTGGTTGTCTTTTTCTTTGCGCCAAGGATTATGACTTGTAGTGATCGGATATTGATGCTCCCAGTATTGACTTAGGTTTTGTTGCAATCAGAGTAAAATATTCTTGGCAATACATAATTGGGTTCCAAACGGCACTACGCAAGTGGACTTAAAGTCACGCTTATTTCAATAGTCAAACCAAGAGAGCTAGAGAAAGACAAAACCGTTATCCAAGTCGTAAACACTCCATAATTGAGTGTTGTGATCAATTTGTCCCAAATAACACTGTCAAACCAAAGTTTTCAAATTCTAGTCTACCTTTTTCTCACCTGTCCCTATAACGGCCAAACTAAAATTTAAAAATCTACTTAATTTATATGTACGGTAACTTTTAGCAAGACTAGGCTACCTCTATTCGCACTAAATCGTGCAATCCCTGCCTCTCTTAAGGGTCTTTAAGAGCGGATGTCAGTAAATATCGACCAGAGGTCTACAAAAGCGAAAAATCGAAAATTCTCAAAAACATTCACAAAGTAGCACTACGTAAACTATTAACATAAATGTAATTTTTACTTCGATCCGATAATTATTTTCCACGTACGGGGGGTTATTGGTTTCGCGGCTCTCGGACCGGGTTTTCCAGGTCCGAGATCATATGTCACAAAAAAATCGTTTTAAAACTCAAATCCATTGTAATGCGGACAACAAGTAACTTATTCAGAAGAGTACATAATTGCACACATTTTAAGGGGGATTTACTCAGTTTGAACGAAAGTGCAATATTTTGGAGATTTTTCATTATTTTCAATATTTTGAACGTTTTCGTTCAATGAAAAAATGGCAAATTTCAAAGCCCCAAATCGTCGACTGGTACCTCTATTTCAGTAACGAGTCTTATACCACCTTAAAGAGCGTTATCTCTTCTTTCAAAATCTGTTTTAAAAACTATGGGCAACTAAAAAGAAACTTTTTGAGGCCAAAAAATACAAGTAGTACTTTTCTGAAATTTGAGCTTTCCAGACTCGGCCGGCCGAAGCTAAAAACTCAGAAAAATACAATAAGAAATCAGTTTGAGCAACAGTGGTTTCATGTTATCAGCTTTCAGAAACCAAGACGTTTTTATACAGCGATCTGATATAAATTAATGCCGTTTGCTATCAAGAAAAGCAGATTTAACCTGTCAACTCCTGCCAAGTGCACCAGTCACGTGAAGTTGTCAAAGGGAGGGTAAAGCACTAATTATATTAAAAAGTCTAAAATTCAAAACGTTTTACGTCCATGAAATCAGATTTTAGCGTACAAAACAATGTTGTGAATGTCTGTTGTTCGTACCTTAGCATGGTGTTTCCATATAATGGAAATATCAAGTATCCACACGGGAGAACATACCAAACAACAACGTTTTAAATCTAAGCGCCGAAAGATCGTAAACGGCAAAGATTGTGTTTCATTTCACAGAGCGACCGCTTACCACTGTTGTCACTCCTTTTTTCGCTGGAAGCTACGAGGAGTTTTCATTCCGTCATGACTGTCATGAGTGATTCTTGATCAGCCCTTCCTTGAAAGTACGACCCCGGACAGATGATAACTGAGGACGTTTCATCAAGACTCCTGTTGTTCAGTTGCAGGCTTTAGCAGGTGCATAGTCAGGATTTTTCCGGAGGTACGCCCAACTCTTTCTACATCGTCTTCCCCTCCCCTCCCCTCCACCCTACCCCAAATCTCAGCAATTTTTTTAAGGTGCCTGTATTAAAGGTGGGGTTAACGGTTGTAAGCAAAAGCATTTTTGCTGTTTATGAAATGACACAACCTCTTAAATTCTTTAATTCTGTCGGCTTGTTATGTTCATTGACGTCAACCGTATATCATTAACGTTCTATCCTGTCCTTGTAAACTTATACTTTTATACTTTAAGGGAGCTTAATACCTATATTAATTTTTTCTTCGTTTACTGTCGTCCAAAAGACCCAGTTTTTTGGCATTTTTTAAAAAAGCAAGAAAAAGAAACGACAAGGTTTATTTTTTTTAATCTAAAAACTGAGCATTACTGATAACAGCATTTCCAGGCATAAAACGTTCGGTGGTGTATCCTTTTTGCTTTTTACCCTTTTTGGGCCTTTTTTTTGTGAAATTGACCATCACATTTCCGCCATATTGAGTTTGTGTCGATTTGGTGACCATGTCTTGTTGTTTTCAGGGTCCACGGCAATGATGCTGGTGTTTCAGGCCTCCTGTTCTCAGATTTCTTGTGATTTTTTTTCACCCCACCGACCAACCCACCCAAAACCAGGAAACCTATTCGACGCTAAACGAACGAAAAGGGGATGACCTAAGCCTTATGGTTTCTTTTTGGGCTTCCTCACCACATTGCTTCTGCGTATTTCTGTATACTTGTCTTTTGCTTTGTTTTGTCCTTTTTTGTCGGTAAAATAAACTGAAACTGTACAAAAACCCTTAATATTCCCTTTGGAGGTTCTCGAACGCGCATAAAAAAAATGAAAAACGCGATGATTTATTGACCGCAAGGGCAATGGGGGGGGGTTAGGGCTCGTTACTGCGCTCCGGTTCACTCGTGAGCTGTCAAATGGTCGCGATATACAAAATGAAAAATGACTGCGGACAGACTATTCACGTCTCGACATCAAGCATCTTTTAAGATGGGCCTTATCGCCTCTCCCTGTTCATGGAGTTGATTCAAGGTGTTGACGTCAATTTCCTGATGCCCTGCGTGTTGCCCGGACATGTTTCAAAAGGGCCTTTCCACATCTATGGAGTCCGCCGTCACCTTGTCAACCGTGCGAGAAATGATGTACTTCACAAAAACAAAAAGAGAAGTTATTTTCGATTTGCCCCGCCCCTTCCAGATTCTGCTCCGAAAAAGCTTAAAAGTTGCTAAGAAATATGCCAAAAAGTTGCTCAAAAATTGCTCAAAATTGAAAAAGTTGCTCGAATATTTTTTAGACAGCATGTCTAATTTTAATAACAATTGCTTTGTAATCAACATTAAGGTACAACTAAGTAACTAGTTACAACAAATTAGGCAACCTTTAGTTGAATCTAAGTGGCTAGTTACAAAAAGTTAGACAGTAAGTGTAACAAAGCTCCCCTGCTAACTGCAGTTTCAAAGGAGTTTTCGATTTCTTCGTCTTCGGAAGACAGCGTGGCGTCCGTCATTTTGTTTACACACAGTCCACAGGCTACCCCAACCTCTTTCCTTGGGCTTTTCCCAGGGAAAAGCCCTGGGAACGAGGTTGTGGCTACCCAAACCCAATTCTAGTAATTAATTACCACATCCGCATGATACCCATTCAAAGGGTAAAAATATGAGTTTTCCCAGAAAGATGTTTAGAACTTTAACCAAGAGAATTTTAACTTGTTTATTTAAAAAAAAAGGTGAGGTTATTCAGCATTTTGGTTCAAAATAGCCCCAAAGTTACCAAAAAAGTGCTCGTTTTCCGAAAAGTTTCTTGAAGTTGCTCTCTG